CACAACGCTGAACACACTCGCGTTTTCTATCCCTCACCTTACACATGTTTCACTTGCGGTCAAGTCTACCATTAACCTTCCATCACATTTCGTGTCAATAATATGCCACTTTACCCATTTCCAACCACTTAAATTAGCTCACAGACATCAGCACCTTTTCACGAGACCAACTCTACTTGGCAGCCACGGTGACAAACTTTCTGTTCAATCAACTCTTTCCTCGTTATTGTAGCAGCAGGCTGTAGCACTACCACACAACCTTATAGTTAACAGCCGATAACAAACCGGAAGCAGGGAAGACAAATGAGTCGACAGAGAACACAACCATGTTATTCGCATTACGACAGAAGGGTCAAGTCAAGTAAACTAATTTTTGTGCGCCTATCAATACGCGTGCGTAACAGGCGACTGCTGACAGGAGTTAGTCACAAAGAGGGCGAAGCGTTGATACAGTCGGGCAAGCATACACGCGTCACTCCGGCGCGGTGGATGTCTGTCCACAACAGTGCATTCACGAAAAAGAATCGAATGACTTGTGGTCGATCGCGACTGATAACTGTGCTCGACTGCTGCTCGCCACAGCTCTTCCCTTTGGTAAAAGGAATCGGCGAATACTTTCTTTCAGCAGGGTTTCTGAAGGGTGGGTCGTAGGCATTGTGCAGTCGACTTGCAGTGTCCTAGACGAGTTTTGAACCTGCAAGCTTGCACTTGAGAGTCGACAACCGAAGCGAGTTAAACAAAACTGAAACCAAAATGCGGTAAACCAGGCGAGATTGGAAAAAAAATCGAGGCGGATCGTGCTTGAGATAGACGATGGTCAGGATATAAAAACAAGGGGAGGTGCGGGTCAGGCAGTCTAACGGTCAGGCCAATGAACGCGTCTACTATAGCGTGTAGTGGTATTCGTTTCTTTATTGTCAGAAGAGATGGGAGTTGGCTGCACCTCGGGTTTGTGGCTAGGCGGCATTTCCGCGTCGAGTAATGCTGATTTCATGCGGTCAATAAATACGGCGTCTTCGTTTCCATTTCGTTCGACGATGAAAACCCCTTCTTCTCGTCTGAGCATCCTGAATAGTCCATCGTAGTTTGGGTGAAGTGGTCGACGAATGGCATCGCGCCTGATGAAAGCCTGAGTGCAAGAGGACAGTGTTCTTGGGATGTAGCATGAAGTGGAGGATGAGCGAGGTTGAGTGGATATCAGTTTGCTCATCGTCTCCATCAAATTATCGACGTAGATGCTTGTGTCCGGCCATAACGGTGAGGATTATGCAGTGAAAAACTGCCCAGGGATTCTCAATGTTCTTCCGAAAATCACTTTTGCAGACAGGCACCAGAAGTCTTCCTTCGCGGTTGATCGAATACTGAGCTGCACGAGACGTAACACGTCCGACCGACGAGATGGCTCACTGTACACGGTTAAAGCGGATTTCAGTTGCCGGTGAAAACGTTCTACCATGCCACTTCACTGGGGGTGGTTGGCGGTCGTTCGAATACGGTTCGCCCAGAAATGCCGTGGAAAATTGTGGAACAGGCTTGATTCACACAGTGTTCCTTGATCTGTGGTGGTGGTAGAGGGCACTGAAAAAAGTCAACCCATCTGTCAACGAATATTCTAGCTCTTGTTTCGGTGGAAATGTCTTGCATTGGAAAGGCATCCTGCCAACTTGTAAAACGGTCAACGCAAGACAAAAGGTAACAGAAACCTCTCGGGTGCGGTAAGGGTCCAACGATGTCACGGTGTACGAGATAAAACCTTGCATCTGGAACGGTAAAGTGTCCAACAGAGGTCTTCCTGTGTTTGTCCACCTTCAAAATCTGACAACTTACACAAATTCTAATCCACTGTGAAACATCGCGATTCATGGCAGGCCAAACATAACGACTTGAGATCAGTTTCCGTGTTGCACGCTGACCTTGATAAGCAACAGCGTGAAGGGCTGACACACTTGGCGTCGCATCGGCTCAGGCACGAAAGGTCATTGCAGACCCGTTCAAACGTCGAAGATGACTGTACTTGTGGATGAAGGTAGAGGGACTTCGACAAGCTTTGAAGCTTCAGGACTCCTGGAATTCATCATCAGACTGCTAAGCGATTGCCATATGGTCAAAATCCACATGTTACATGCATTTACAGCGTCGAAGTCCAAGCGAGATAGTGCATCGGCTACCGCATTGTCCTTGCCTTGGATGTAATAAATGCCAGTTGAAAACCATAAAACATAGTCCAAGTGTCTTGATTCCCTTGGTGACAAACGACCCGAACACCAACGGCTTGTGGTCAGTGTAGATCGTGATCTGCCAACCCTCAAGAAGATACCTGATGCGCCTGACCGCCAGGTAGAAAGCCAGAAACTCACGACCAAAGGTGCTGTAACGCATCGCGCCATTGAACACACTCACGTTGTCATTATCTCACCTTACACATGTTTGTCTTCCGGTCAAATCTGTCATTAACCTCTCATTATATTTCCAGCCAATAACATGGCACTCTACTCATTTCCACCCACTTAAATAAGCTCACAAACAACAAAAAAACTTTTTCACGAGACGAACTCTACTAGGCAGCCACTGTGACAAACTTTCCTCTTAATTAACTTTTTCGTTGTTGTGTTATGCAGCACAATATTCATTACTACAATCGAGGTGACAAGTCAAAACCATGCCTTCGTGTTTGACTTCAGTGATCTCTGCGTTTGACAAATTGAGAGCACTACCGCAGTACCCAACTCTCCCTTCGGTTGGGCATTCGCTTCAACATGTACTTCTGCT